GGAGCGAAAAATTATTCAATTAAAAAAAGAGGTGTATTACTCAAGATATTAGTAGATCTGCAAGAAAACATATGGCGCTTAAATACTAAATTACTAAATTATCTGAATCCAATGACCAAGAGCTCGGCCTCCCAACTAGGAAGATACAGTAATTGTGAATGGGTGCAGCTGCACACTCTGGCTGTGCAGAAGCAACCCAGCTCGGGCCCAGCCACAACGAACAAGCCGATCATGTCTCAGGAGAGACAGAGGGGCCTTAGAGGCAGCCTGGCAAATCTGAGCCTGACCTCCCTGGAGAGAGAGAGAGGGAGAGAAAGAGAGAGGCAAACTGGATTTATATCTTTGTTTTTAATCCCCCTTACACGCTCCACTGGTCCTACAGAAGTACTTTGTGTGGGCCTCATGTATAGTCTGGGGGGGGGGGATATCAAAACACAGCTTTGTGTGTCGTGAAAAAACATCTGTTATTTTTTTATGTGACATCAGAGACAACGACGATGTCAGTCTCCTGTATTTTCCTGTCTGGGGAGAAAAAATGAATCAGCTGTGGCACAAAATATCCGAGCAAGCTTCTGAATTCATAACTGTACGGTGCCAGCATATTATTCAGACTGAAATGCCATTTTGTTAACGCCCCAGTTTTCAGTATGACATTGTTAAGCTGTTTTCTGTTTGGGAGGGAGGTTATTTTGCTCCGACCAATCACAGTGACTATTTATCCATCTGCCGATGTCACTTTGTGGAAACACAGAATCTGTGGCGAAGAAAAGTCAGCTTAAGTCAGTCAGCCATTCATAATGCTATCAAATTTATTTATGCTTAATCATTTTATTGGATTGAGAAGTGATAACGCACTTGAGAATTCAGTAAACCGTAAAGAAAAAGCTCTGGACAGACTGGTGGGATGTAGGACTAAGTGTGAGCACAGCAGCCTCCTGACTCATTTCCTCAGGTGCCAAAGGAGCCAGCTGATAAATTAAACCCAGAGGGAGAGCAGCAACAACACTTTTTCATCTCTTTTAATGCCTTTAGTGCACAGCTGTTCTGATTTAATAGCTGTTGTTTCAGTTGGGTGATTTACAGCAGCCTTGATAGCAGTGTCACTTTCCTCGTCTTCTGTTGGACGACACTCCCGAAATGAGTCCTACATATAACTGACTCCGTTGTTTCTCCCAACTGAGGACGTTGAGTCAGACGTCGAGCACCAGGCCTCTGAATGGCTCGACAAAGAAGAATTTGAATGTGACCGGCGATTCACAAGTCTGGACTCAGACTGGAGAGATGTGCACGGAATTACAAGCGCACTTTGCTAAGGAAGATTTCTTACAACCGACGACTGAGTGGAAGAGGGGACCTGAGCCAACACAGCCTCCCATGGTTTCCCGACAGGCATTTACTGAGCACTGCTCCATTCGCCTGCTATTTCCCTACTTCTGAGCCGCTGGGGTTTGTCTGTAGAGAGCAGAGCCGGATGCATGATAGACTCAAACGCAGCAAACCAGAGGATAAATTCATGAGTGCGGGCACACGCATGCTACATGCTTGTGTTAGTGATCCCGGGTGTGCCAGTTTTTCTGCATCTGCCCATATGCTCATAAATGTGAGCTGCCGCACTAACAGAAACCATAAAAGCAAAGCAAAAATAGAAGGAGAGATACAATGACCCCAAGAGCAGACACAATAACCGTGGGGAAATGGCGAGAGAGTGAGGGGGGGGTTAGGTCTTCACCGAGCAGCAGGAGCAATAGCAATGAGTGGAGAGGGGAGCAAAAATCACGTTACTGCCCCCGAGATGCAGTCGAGAGGATCTGAATCCAAAGACTGCACCTGAAGCCATGTTTTATAGAGCGCTTCATCATCAGCCGAGACGTTTTCTTGTGCGTCATTACCGAGTGTCATAAACTCTCAACTCTACATACTATTACAGCAGGCTCGAAACGGCACTGCTCCATGAGAGGCTGCACTCGAAATCCAGAGTTAGCCTCATGAAAGGCTGCGTTAGTGTTGTGCATATAAGATGATATGAACGCCGTATACACCAGGGTTATGTGAGTAAATATTAACAGCTCAGGGGTGGTGAGGATTCAATATCCAGTCCAAAACAACAGTGTCAACACGAGGCACAGAGTTGAATAGCATGACTATCAGTGGTGCAGGCCCACAGTGAAAACTAAGAATTAATTTCTCGCCATATGCTCAAAATGTTTGTGTTGTTGGACTTAATTCTATGCAAATCCTTCACAAATCCTGGGAGTGATAGTACATGATAGTTTAGTTTTATAAATCAGTGTATTTACAGCAGAAAAACAACAGTCCTGCACCAACTTGAAAATAATCAACTGGTGAATACGTTCCGCAGTGATTTTGTTGATATTGAAATAACACACATTTAGAGCCAGAGCCTCCAAATACACCAGATCAACCAATCATGAGTTGGCCTCAGCTGTCAAGCCTGACATTTCAACCAGCGTTTATAGCAGCAAATAACAACTAATAATAATAATACGTTTGGTCTGTGTCCCTTCCACTAACATGGAAGAGCAGTCATGTCGTCCATCTTGACACTTTATGGTTATGATCCATGTTTCTTCCTTTGAATCATATATTTCTTCAAAGTCATATTTCCAACTTCAAGTAAACTTTTTTTTTCAAGAAGTAACTACCAGGTGCAGAACCACAGAATCTTTTTCTGTAGGAAGGATTTTTATCACCGACAGTGACGTCATCAGTTATTGCCATTACTTTTCAAAGAGCTCTAAAAAACGCTGGTTGCCATGGTGATGCTTTTGGAAAACAGGAAAGGGGTTGAGAGTTCACAGCTTCCATTAGTTTATCTCATGTTCTGGGTGCAAGCTGTTTTTTTCACAGATTTTATATCAATGTGTCAACTTAGAGGTTTCTATTGATAAAAAAATTCAGTCAACATAGCAAAGATGTTTTTTAAGTGAATGTGCAATGACACCCGTTACCTGACAGATGAAGTTTTCACGAATGGGTCAAAATGTCAGCCCATCTTGCATGAGGTCAACATCAAGGATGGGGACCATGCCATAAACATCAGCCGCCGAAATTATTTTTTAAATTTCTTAAAGCTTTTAATAGCTGAGGAAACTTTTACTAGGTATGCTTTAGCTTTTGGAGGCGGCGTCCTGATGTTCACACAAGGGGGGCTGCCCGGTTTGCCAGTGTTCAGCTGTGAAGTAATTGACTCTTGAGATAATGCTGAGGGGGAGTCTGGGAAATCTCTGTGGACATTCCCTCCCCATTGAAGAACCATTCTGCCCTGCTAAATTCAAGCTAACCACAGCCAGTTGGGAAATACGAAAAAACAAAGTTATTTTCCCCACAGCCCTTCAACTGCCAACAGAGAATATGTGGTTCCATATCCAATGCTCGTCCAGCTCTGCTGAAAATATTTTTAGCCCCGAGGTAAAGATGAAGTAAATTACGTCACTTGATCACCGTTTGCTTGTCGAATCGATGGCAATGACGCGTCCAGCAGATAAACGAGAGGAATCAACCGGAACCGCCGTCCAAACAAATGATCCACACCAGAAATGTGGGGTAATGGTTTCAGTTTTCATATGAATGTTGTGTCATTGCCCTCTAGAGCACTTTGCTGAAAAAAGAGAACAGGAAACTGATTATTTAATAATCTGCTCCTGTGATGAATCCATTGTCTGATTTTTTTTTTTGCTGTGACATGTTGATCACACACTTGTTTGTCGCTTGATTCTTCTTGTTACTTCTTGCTGCAGGAGGCCGAGGTGAAAATGCATCGTAACGCAGATGACCCGGTGCCAAAAGGCAGAGTTAAATCAAAACTGCAAATGAAATCTCGTGTTCCAGCCAAATTTCATAAAAGAAAGAAAAGTGAGCACTCTCAGTTGGAGAGGAACTAAATCTTACACAGTCATATCCAGTCAGGAGTCATGATAACTCTCACATCCTGCCCCACCTACGTCTGGAAAAAATATCTTGTGATGTTAAAAACATGTCCCTTGTGGAATGAATAATCAGGAAGCCTTCCTTCTTTACACAATGCTAAATATGCAAAATTCACAGCTCCTCTGCTTTATACTCTGTATCTCCCTGAAGCCTTTCCCCCACTTAGCCCGTTCCATCTGCCATCTCTCTCTACTCGCAGCTCCCACTCTTCATTCTCCTGCTTTGTAATGCCTCCCGCATTCCCTTCCTTCCTTCGCCATCATCTTGAGTCTTATGTGGTTTTTCAAAGTATTTTCCCTCTTTTTACTCCATTTCCAATCTCGTCTAATTCCACTTGTCCTCTGCAACCTTGTTCACAGGCCTGTGTCTATTTTTCCCACTGAGCCCTTCTCGTTTTCTCTCTCTCCCTCTCTGTATCTCCCCGCAGTGTGAAAACAGTACCTGCGACACTCTACTCCCAGTATCCTCTCATCTAAATGGGTTGTGTGGCCTTGCTGTATCTGATTCCTCTAGACAGGAGGTGAGAGTGAACCTTTCTCCCACTTCCACACCTCACCTGCTCCTGTTATTTGTTTTAATAAAAAGAATTCTAGCTAGCTTTGTCAAAACATAATACATTCTGCTGGATGGAGCTGTGCCTTTAATGGTACTCAAACGAGTTAGTGAAAAAAAACTCCTCCGGAGGTAAGATTCATATCGGATTAATGCACAAGTAAAAGATAAAGACGAGAGGGGTGAAAATACTGAGAATATCCCCTGATATCTGCCTGTGCTAATGAATACGATTAATGTTAAGCTGCTGGTGTATCCACTTTCCATGTAGATATGAAGAGAAATAATAATACATTCTCAGTTCATGAGTCATATCAAAGCATATTTTCTACCCAAGCATGTAGTTATGTGATAACTCGTAGCTATAGTGACAGACTATTATTACAAATGTAAAGGCCCAGAAAAGAGCTCTTTGGAGACCCTCATCTCCAGCTCCACAACCTCACACAAACGCACTCCACCATCCATACCACCAACTCCATCCCGAAAAGTGAACTTACGTGTTCGGAAACGGTGGTGTGGGCGTGTGGCTGGGCCTTTGCCGGGGCGCCCGTGGCTCCAGCGCGACGTGGGTTTTATCGGTGGTGCTGGTTGGGAGGTGGTCGGCTGCACCTTGGAGTTGGTCCTCACAGTAGCGGTGGATGAAGTGGATGCTGTGCTGGCGACGGTAGCAGAAGTCTGCCCTGGCTTTGAGTTGCCAGCCCCATTATGTCCATTACTAGTGCTTCCTTTTCTAACAGTGCTGCGAGGGTCGACCTCCTTACCGCTGGGTGGTGGGGTGAGTCGGGTGGCGCGAGTGGTGGAGGAGGTGACCACAGTTCCACTAATGCGGGTGCCAACGCGATTGTGAAGGTGTGGTGCGCGGTTGCCATCTCCATTGGCAGTGCTGCCATTGGCTGAGTGGTTTGCTGGTGGCCCAATTCGAGTTCTTGGCGATGGGGCAGTACCATCCGCAGCTAGTGGCATGGTAGTCGACACTATTGTTGTGGTAGAGGCAGTTGAAGTAGTGGTGGCGGTGGAAATGTCGGGCCCCTTGGGCATGGCACTGGGTTTAGAGAGAAATATAGGGTCCTGTCCAATGCTACCTTTAGGATCCACCAGATCAGTGGGGACATAGTCTTGTACAGATCCCACCACAATCCATTTCAGCAGCATGAGACTGAGTCCCAGACCCACAAAGCCCATTACCAGGGGAACGGCACACAGCCATGTCTGCTGGCGAGGCCACACAGCACAAGGGCCACAGCGGAGCGGGCCTGGGGCTCGGGGAGATGCCTGTTCAGCCCCTGGCTCCTCCAGCGTCATGGCTGCCAGAGTGCTTGCACCAGAGCGCTCACTCATCCTGCTGGAGGTTTGGGTCTCTTTAATATGTACGGGAGGTCAAACAGGTGGCCAAACAACACAAGGACACGCACTAGGAAGGGGATGTGGTGCAAAAGAAAAGCTGGGCATCTTAAGCTAGTACACAGGCACAATGCCTTGACTATATACTGTATCTACATGCACAAATGTAACACACGAACTCACACACAAACGCCCACAAGCAGACACAATCACTCACTGTCACGTAGCCACTACTAATTAAAATCTGGCACAACACTCAAATGCATACACAAGCAATATAACCTACACTCCCTCTGGCGGACAACAAACCAAGCACACGCATCCGCGCACGTACACACACACACACACACAAATATACACAAGGATATACACACTTCCACAGGCGCGCACGGGTTATGGACAGGTGAGAGAGGCGGGAGGCGCTAAACGAAGCGATGATAAATCCCAGGACGCTTCACTCGCTTGTTAAAAAAAAAAAAAAAGCCGACGCAAAAAAAAGAAGGGAACTGGGAGGAGGTATCGATCCGCTGCGTGCTGAGCTTCAGACTGGAGCTGTAAATCCATGTGCGTGCGTGTGTGCGTACATCAACAACCCAGGCACCCGTCACCGCTCTCAGCTGCTTGATTATCGGCCGCATAAGGTCTTCGCAACCAAAACCACTGGTTGTTCCTGTATTCCTCTCTCCGTCTGGGCACCTTTTACGCATACATCATTACGCATAGCCCTTTCTCTCTGGCAGGTGTCTTTGTCGGCTTCTTCAAGTTTGCATCTGACAGCCCCTCAGTTCCCAATGCCCGGCCACCCTTTTTTGCCCGCCCTCCCCAGATGTGGGTAATCCAGATGTGCAGAAAGGGAAGCCACGGAAATTGAGGCAGCTGAGGATTTGATCCGCCGATGAGACGGGGCGGTGTTGATGTCCGGAGCGTAGCGGGGCTAAATCCACCTGATCCTGGACCGACCACCCGACTCTGGTGTCCGGGAGTGACAGCCGTGTGCGCCTGCCCGTGCCGAGCCGCCTCGCCTGCAATCCGCCACTGTGATGATAGATCCGGCGTTGACGGAAGAAGAAAAAACACACATATATATATATATATATATATAAATATGGGAGGTTCTGCGATTCGTTTACCTCCGCTGCATTCCCACAGTGGTGCAAGCAGCAGAAAGAGAGATGGAGAGAGAGAGAGAGAGAGAGAGAGAGGATGGAGGGAGGAGAGGAAGGGAGGGGGCTGCTGCTCAGAAAAAAATGATGCGGCGGCTGTTCTTGGAGGCTGCAGACCAGAGAAAGAGAGAGAGAGAAGGGGGCTGGGGTGGAGAGGAGGGGGCTTGCTCAATCCCCGGTGAGTGATGTGGGTTTCACGGCTCCTATCCCATCCGGCGCTCCCCTCTGCTTCACCGCCGTCCTCAATACTCCAAAGTGGCGACTCTCGTGCACAGTGACTGCCCCGCGTGTCCCCACATCCTCCAGCCCAGACTGCACGACTGTGGCTGCGTGCGCCCTGACTCCCCTCACCAGCACCCAGAAAACTAATAAAGGAGAGGAGGGAATTAAAAAAAGAAAGAAGGGAAGAGAAATGTTCTGCTGGGGAGAGAAATTGTGAAGGTGTGCAGGGAGGGAGAGAGAGAGAGAGAGTGTGTGGAGGATGTTTGGCTGCAGCAGACAGGGGGTATAGAGGGAGGCGGCGGCAGCGCGCACACACACACACACACACACATACGCGCCCACGTTGAGGAAAGGAGATGCACTGCCATAGACACACCCCAGGGAGAGGTGAGGTGGAGGGAGGGATGGAGAGGATGAAAAGGCAGGGATGGAGAGGAGTAGGGAGACGCCAACCCTATGTCTCCCACCAGCTGCACACAAGAGCAAACAAACCAAACACCAGGCTCATAATTTATGGGTGAGTTAGAGCACTACTTCAACTTGATACCTCCGTGGGCAGTGGATGAATCCCCTTATTTTACAGTTCACAAGGGACAGCGGTGCTTTAAGGACCAAAGCCAACATGGTGTTAAGGAGCATCACAGCACAACACTGGAGGTGCAATCAACTCTTTTAATTTGCCAGATTTGACATTTATTGGTTTACGCCTGCTAAAAAGGCCTGTAACATAGCAACCAGGCCGTGATTAGGTCACAGTGTGAGGTAAATCCAGGTTAAAGCTATCACAGCTCATTAGTTTCTCTTTTCAAATGCAGCTTCATTGCAAATGATGTTTCAAGTGTGCAAAATATGGTACGAATCAGTATCACTGAGAATGCTTTGTATATTTTACCATCATGCGTCACTGCTATAGTTTCCAACCTGTCCACAGTAACACAGACATATTTTGGGCCTCTCGTCCACATGCGAAAAGCAGCTGGGTCTCAATTCAGGCACTGCATCCTTCTGAGGATGTCTATGCGGCCCATGGAGACTGCCTCATTCGTGGTCAGTCCTGACTACAGACCAGAAGAACCGAAGTGTAATTACGGATGAATCATGGGATAATTCGGATCCCTCTTCTCTCCTGGATGGAAGGATGCATTTATCACCTTCCAAAGTGCAGATCATTCCGCCTCTGTGCATCCGTAACGGAGAATTTCAAAAACTATGATGTTAACGCTTACTTCACAAATGCCCACTGTTCCTTTATGAGAATGCAACAGGAAGAACAAAGGCAGTTAGATTCCGGTTGATCTACGTTTGGTTAAGACTTCTAGGTCTACAGGTTTGAAGCTAAATTTAGCATTTCTGCACCACATTATACGCATTCACCTGTGTCTCCCTTGCCACAGCGTAAAGTACATTTTATTGCCACCTACTGGCCCAGCATCATAGTTTGAGCATTTGGAGTTGTTTTTACCCTCTCGTCTGGACGGAGATATTTTTTTGAGCTAAGGTTGTGTGGACAAATATCCACATGAGCATGACACTAATGATGCAGCAAAAAAGAAACTGCTGTAACATTTTGCACACACACCGTCATCATGGGAGACACACCAGTGCTGTTACATTATTAAAAGGTGACTTTGCAGTTCTCCATGATTGTATTGTGTGCGGTAATACCCTTAATCAGTAAAGTAGCTGTGTCTCCCATCTTCTCAAAGTGGCAGTGGATTCAGTTTTGTTGTGCGTGCAGAATAAGACCCAGGAGTTGTCGAATGCAGACATGCTCTCTGGTTTTCCATTTTCCATTCGCCTCCACATAAGTAGGGTTGTGGCATTATTTAAAGCTGCCATCTGCTGCTTTAGAACAGGACTCCTTTTTAACTATGAAAGTGACAAGTTCAAGAAAATCCATTTGTCATTGAAAATGTGAGTGGATGTATACTGTTATAATAACCCCTGAAAATTGATGTGTGTATTATGTATGAGAGTGAGTTTGAGGATGAAAGAAAGTGGGGGAGACTGAGAGAGAAAGGGAGGTGAGGCAGAGAAGAGGGGAAGGAGAAAAAAACAAAACAGGTAGAGGAGAGCAGAATGAGTAAAGTGTCTGCTGCTTTATTTTTCTTCCCCCACACGAATTATATAAGCATCTGCAACACACAGTTCGAGATCTAACACCTCACAATCACTCCTACGAAACAACATCATTCATTACTGCCTAATGCCTCCTGGCGAGAAATTTAGAGCCATTTCAAAGTCCTCACATTCCCCAAACGACTGCAGAATTATGCCATTTTAAACGCATTGTTTTCCCAATAACAGTTTGCATTACCCCGAGGTTGCTTTCTCAACTGATTTTCATAAATTATAGAAAATGACTGACACAACAGCAGCGTTGTGATATCTCTATGCTTATTCATATTTCTGTACAGCTCACATCTTTCATTATCGCCCCTGCTAATGCGTGTGATGGGTCTGATGGAATTGTTTACTGATTTAGGAATAGAGGTAATATCCCCCTCTGAACATGTTTTTGAACTTGACAGGCTGTCGACAGTCATTCCCACTCAGGAATTCACTGTTCTCCTTCCACCCCACCACCAGCATTTGAAGATTCTCAGGGAAAAAATATATATATATCTGAGGACTTCCAGCAGAGGAATTCTTCTCAAATCATTGAAGTACCAGTTTCAATTGTGTGACTTTGTTTTTTGAATACGGGGTTAGGACGGAAACTTTTGAAGAGATTTGCTCTGGAGTATAAATTCCTCCCAAATAATGAGATAAAAAGGCAAAGGGATGGTTTGTATCACATTGCATCACTTTGACTTTGTCCATCTAATTAAACAGGGACATTATAACTGGCAGCAGTGGTCAGCACTGTCACATCACAGAAAGAAGGTTCCTGGCTCCAATCCCAGTTTGGCCTAAAGCCGTTCTGAGTGGAGTTCACATGTTCTCCCCACGTCTGTGTGGGATATCAGGATACTCCGACTTCCTCGCACAGTCTGGACACTGGCAGATTGGGGAGACTTTAAATGGACGATGGGTGTGAATGGTTATTTGTCTCTGTATGTTGGTCCTGGGATACACTGATGACCTTTCCAGCTGTGATTGGCCCCAACCCCCCCCTAGATCCTCAGAGGATAAGCAGTATGTATGTATACATGTATTGAATAGATATATTGTGACCTATTATTCCTACACTGTAGAGTACTTTTTTCTGGTTGAACAGGAGATGCAGGTACATTTTATTTACTCTAATATAGTTTCTTCTTTACGAGGTTTGTATGGATCAAATCCCCTCAACGCTATGGTCTGTGACTGGGTCAGGTGACCACACGACTGTCCCTGGTCTCTCTCTCCCTGGTCTGTCTCTCAATTGTCTCTCTCTCTTCTCCACCCACTCTTCCTTTCTTCCCCATTTTTCTCTACGCTCACCCCAACCGGTTGAGGCAGATGGAGGCCCACATTGAATCTGTTTGCTCACTGTGGGAACTGTTGCGTTTCTCTATACATTTTTAGGTCTCTACCTTAATATGTTATGATTTGGCACTTAAAATTGAACTGAATTAAATACCTTTTGTTTTTATTCATTCATTTTTTATGCCATGGATTTTGTGAAGCACTTTGTAACCTTGTTTTGATAAGTGCTATACAAATAGAGTTATTATTATTATTATTAATTTGCCCCATATGCCTTAGTAGGTGGGGTTGAATTCACATCTCCTGTCTGGAGGGAGCCATTCAGGTCCCTGCCCCTGATGAATGTCCATTGGTGTCAGTTAAAGTTAATCTTGTTGCCATCTCACTTATCCTGGTCCTGGAGGGTTGTCACCATAGGGAGATATTATTCCATCTGGTCTGTTCTCCTGCGTCTCTCCCGGTCTGAAGATATTTATGGTTTTATGGGCTCTTGGGAAACTGGAGTGGAGTCCATTGTGTCAGTATTTCTGTGGAAAACCTCTTCAGGAGGCCTCGAAGAGAGGTGTCAGCTACACCAGTGCACTCCAGAGTATGAAGAAGTGAATGAATGACTTTTCCTCCTCTACGTCTTTCTTGTGACTCCACCATC